GGACAGAATTTGCTCACTCCTGGTCTATTATTAGAATATCTTTGTGGAAAAGACTTGGGATAATTGATGATAAATGCTCATTCAAGTTAAATAGAATAGCAATTAGAATATTTTTTAGTCATTTAGTGCATTATGCAATATAATTGTATAATGTTAAAAATCACATTTATATGGTTAGGCTCTCCTTTGCTTGATGGTATTTGAATAATAAAAAATGAGTGGAATAGAACTAATTGCAATTTTTCCTGTGCTATCTGAACACATTTTATACATATATATACATGTATACATACACACACACTTATTCCTTCTCATATATTCTATATGTATGTTCACTGCATATATGTGTTCCCTTTAAGTTATTGGAAGGATGGCTTACTGCTTATGAAGAAGGGAAATTTTAGGAGATACTTGACTACTTCCATTTGAAAGATTGAATATATAAATGTTCTTTGCTCACATGTATGACATTCCTGGCAATAGCCTATGTAAACAAGGAAAGTCCATGTACTCGTTTATAGAATGAAATTGTACTATTTTGTAACAAGATTTGTGGAATAAATTTAATTATAACTATTGATGAAATATAACAGGATGCACATTCCCTACTGAAAATGGGCAGTTTTTAAAAAATTAGGTTTCTTATATGTGTATTTGTTTGAATTAATAATATGACACTTCAGTTCAGTTCAGTTCAGTCACTCAGTCCTGTCCAACTCTTTGCGACTTAAGAGTCGCATGCTGACTGGACTGCAGCATGCCAGACTTCCCTGTCTGTCCATCACCAACTCTCAGAGCCTAATCAAACTTATGTCCATCACACTGGTGATGCCATCGAACCATCTCATCCTCTGTCATCCCCTTCTCCTCCTGCCTGCAATCTTTCCCAGCATCAGGGTCTTTTCCAATAAGTCAGTTCTTTGTATCAGGTGGCCAAAGTATTGGGGTTTCAGCTTTAGCATCAGTCCTTCCAATGAATACTCAGGACTGATTTCCTTTAGGATAGACTGGTTGGATCTCCTTGCAGTCCAAGGGAATCTCAAGAGTCTTTTCCAACACCACAGTTAGAAAGCATCAATTCTTCAGCACTCAGCTTTCTTTATAGTCCAACTCTCACATCCATACATGACTACTGGAAAAACCATAGCTTTGACTAGATGGATCTTTGTTGACAACGTAATGTCTCTGCTTTCTAATATGCCGTCTAGGTTGGTCATAGCTTTTCTTCCAGGGAGCAAGCATCTTTTAATTTCATGGCTGCAGTCACCATCTGCAGTGGTTTTGGAGCCCCCCTCTCACTGTTTCCATTGTTTCCCAATCTATCTGCCATGAAGTAATGGGACCGGGGAGAAGGCAATGGCACCCCACTCCAGTACTCTTGCCTGGAAAATCCCGTGGATGGAGGAGCATGGTAGGCCACAGTCCATGGGGTCGCAAAGAGTCGGACACGACTGAGCGACTTCACCTTTACTTTTCACTTTCATGCATTGGAGGAGGAAATGGCAACCCACTCCAGTATTCTTGCCTGGAGAATTCCAGGGACGGCGGAGCCTGGTGGGTTGCCCTCTACGGGATCGCACAGAGTCGGACACAACTGAAGCGACTTAGCAGCAGCAGCAGCAATGGGACCAGATGTCCTCATCTTAGTTTCTGAATGTTGAGCTTTAAGGCAACTTTTTCACTCTCCTGTTTGACTTTCATCAAGAGGCTCTTGTTAGTTCTTCTTCACTTTCTGCCATAAGTGTGGGGTCATCTGCATCTCTGAGGTTATTGATATTTCTCCCAGCAATCTTGTTTCCAGCTTGTGCTTCATCCAGCCCGGCATTTCACATGATGTGCTCCACATATAATTTAAATAAGCAGGGTACTGGGATAGAAGGTTGTGAAACTTTTACACCACAGATTGTCTTCTTTGAGTGAAATCTGTGATCTCCAGTATATAAAACATTTTTCTAAAATGCCATCACTTTAGAGCAATTTATTTTTTCAAGTCATATTGCTACTTATATAATCAAAGAAATGAGAATAGGAATACAACCAATGATATTTTCTAATATACAAAAATTATTATTTGTAACATGTTAAAGTGTGCCTGATACTAAAATGTAAAAGACATTTCAGAAGAGATATTCCAATCACACTGTTTAGGGCTTCTGAAACAATGTCTTCAGTTTACAACTCATTGAGGTAGGAGGTTATTTAGATACCATCAACAAGAGATGAAAACTGAACAGTCAAAATGTCTTCACACTCTGTATAAAACCTATCAGTGATGGTCCATCACCCATAGGCAAAATTCCAAACTCTTTCTCAGGGCTGATGAAGCACTCTGTGATCTAGCACAACCCACCCCATCTGTAACCAACCTTCTTTACTTGCCAATCCTTACCAGTTCGAAAACTGAGTTCTTTGAATACTTTATATTTTCCCTTCCTCTGGGCCCACTCATGTGCTGCTTAGAATATCTCCTTTTCTGATGGTCAGCATAGCCCTGCCCAACCCCCATAGTGGTTTCAGCCTCCCTGATCTATTCCTTTAATACTTGGTATTTTTGATCATTTGCTTCTTATCAGCCTGCCCCACTAGATTGTATGCTCTCTAAAAAGATCCAGTTACCTGACAGATGATGGTCAAACAAAAGGATGATAAATTCAGAAGTTTTACATAGACTTTATTGTTTAGATCTGTTTTAGTTTAGCGGCAAAACTGAGCAAAAAAATACGTAATTTTCCAATCCCCTGTGTCCCCATACATTCACAGCCTTTGCCAGTATCAACATCTCCTACCAAAGTGGTACATTTGGTAAACTGATAAAACTATATTTCCACATAACTGTCACCCAACAGTCATGGTTTACATTACAGTTCACTCTTGGTGTTGTACATTCTGTGTGCAGATGTACAAAGAACAGTTGGATGAAGGTATAACAGCATGTATACCACCATTGCATAATCGTGCAGCATAGATTCACTGTTGTAAAAATCCTCTGTGCCCAGTCTGTTCATCCCTGCCTCTCCTTGACCTCTGGCAACCACTGATCTTTTCACTGTCTTCATTGTTTTGCTTTTTCTAAAATATCATATAGTTGGAATCATAAAGTATATAGTCTTTTCAGATTTACTTCTTTCACTTGATAATATGCATTTAAGTTTCTTCTATGTCTTACTGTGCATGGCTTGATAGTACATTTCTTTTTAGCACTGAATAATATTCCACTATCTGGATATGCCATGAGTTATGTATTCTTCACCTATTGCTAGATATCTCTGTTGCTTCCAGGTTTTCAGCAATTATAAATAAAGCATCCATGTAGTTTCTTGAGAAATACATTTTCAAACAGGATAAGTAGAAAGACACTCAATTAAAGCTCTTCAGAAATCATCTGGACGTTTACAAGTTACTGGTTTGTAAGGGCTTTCAAGACTAGATATATACATTTGTAATATTAATTCCACTTTTTGATTTTTTTAATGTAGATAATCTTGTATATGCTGGATACAGTAGTAGGTGCTGGAAATGCAAAGTTGAGAATTGCGATGTTCTTGAGTTAGGATCTCACAGAATAGTGGGGGAAAAGAGACATGAAACAAATAATTTCAGTATGATATGGAGATTGCACAGTATATGTATTATCAAGTTGTAATCAGTTCCTATGGTGGGGACAGAGAAGGCTCACAGAACTAAAGACATTTGAACTGAACCTTGAAGGAGAAGCGGTGCTCACAGTCAGATGATTTGAGAATAGTCATATGCAGACCCAGAGATTTGAAAAAATTATCGACTAGGCTGGTGTTGGAAAATAATGGGAAATTAACCTAAAATAATAGGCTCATGAGATGGGGAAGTGTCTTTTAATCCCCACTAATGAGTTTGAACTTTTGTTACATTAGCAATATCACTGAATAATTTAAGCATAGGTGTGATGTGAATGAAGATTTTAGAAATATAATCCAGTTGCCTACATGGAAGATAGAATAGAAGGGATGAAGGTGACACCCCAGGAACTAGGAAATCTAATGGACTGGTTCACATCAGAAGGAGACTGATTTATGATCACAGGACTAGAGGTGAAGTGTAGAATATAGATTTGGGAGATATTTTAGAGGTTGACTTTACAAAACAGTTACATCTAATATTATTTTTATTAGATATAAATATAAAATAAGATTTCTTATTTTATCCTTGAGTCTTCTTTTTAAAGTACATTGAGATCTATCTGATTTATGAAAATAATAGCACTATGGGTAAGGTGTAAACAAAAATGGTACTGATTTTGTGTCACAATTAAAACATTTTGGGTTGATTTTCCATTTTCCCCAGTCAGAATCCCTAAAACACAGTGTACTTAAAAATTGTTATTTTTCTTTTTAGTATATATTTTATAGGATTAGGTTTTCAACTTCTGTTTTATAGATTTTAGATGTTGAGATACACGACATCAGCTTTTAATGAAAAAATTAAGAAAACTAGGGTAGTTGAAAGGTTATTGAATGCATTTTGTAGCACAAAGTCTTAATGATTGACATGTCACATGGAATGGAAGGTTGGCATGGACCTAGACTAAGAGTAAATAAAATTATCAAACTTCTTAGATAAATATTGGCATATGCTTTTGGTGCAACAGGACGAACAAGAGAAGAAAGTAGTTAAATCTCCAAGCACTGAGTTCATTAATTGCCCGCAATTTGGTTCTTTTCCATGTGAATACCTTTGTTGGGAAATTATTGCCTTTTGTAACTGTGGGGTAACAATTAGCTAATACGACCTTTGAAGAATAAATTGAGATTTTGAGATAGCAGATGTACTTATGATTAGAAATTAAGATAATGTCTAATGATTTACTATAGGTGATTTGCTATAATAGTGCCAACAACTAGAAATCAGGCAGAAGTAAACTGAGAGAACATCTTAGATGTTCCTGTGGTTGCCACTCATTCCCAGTGTATAACTGTGTGTATGCCTATGTATAAATGCATTTTGTTTTCTTCATTTAATTTCAGCTACGACAGTGATAGCTGGTGCCCACCATTACCAGTTCAAACTTATTTACACCAGGGTATGGAAGATGAACTGGAAGAAGATGATGATCGTGTCCCAACACCTCCTGTCCGAGGCGTGGCTTCTTCTCCTGCTATTTCCTTTGGACAGCAGTCCACGGCAACTCTGACTCCCTCCCCACGGGAAGAGATGCAGCCCATGCTGCAGGCTCACCTGGATGAGTTGACAAGGGCCTATCAGTTCGATATAGCAAAGCAAACATGGTAATTGTCCTTATTAGTTCAGGGGACCCATGCTTTCAGCACCCAGGTAGGGGAAAAGTTCTTGAACCTTACATTCACTAGAGAGTCTCATTGAAATCTGCAGCTGGAGTTAGAAATGCTTTGGTACAACTCCATAATCATCTCGATAAGGAAATTGACTGAATAAATGCTAAATAATTGACCAAAGTCGCACGACTGATTAGAGTGAACTGGAGCAAAAATTCAGGATCTGCTGAATTTCAGGCTCAAGTGCTTTTGGCTACGCCAGAGTCTTTTCTAATGTACAGTTAGCTTCAATTAGCTTCTTCTTGAACTCACTTCCAGCATCATAATGAAGGACTCTTTTTAGTCTTCAAAGTGCCTATGATTAATTCTGTATGTGGTTGTGAATATGTAAACGTAAGCTTCTGCAAATCACATATGGTCAGTGTCAGTTATTAAAAGACCTTTTCTGGGTTGAATTAAATGAGACAGAAAAAAGCAACAATATTAGTACAGTAAATGCATCCCTAGAAAGCCCTTAGAATACACTGTGTGTATCTGTTCAGTTATTCAGTCATGTCCGACTCTTTGCGGCCCCATAGACTGTAGCCCACCGGGCTCTTCTGTCCATGGAATTTTCCAGACAAGAGTGGAGTGGGTTGCCTTTTCCTACTCCAGAAGATCTTCCCAACCCAGAGATGGAACCCGTGTCTCTTCTATCTCCTGCATTGGCAGGCAGATTCTTTATCACTTGCTCCACCTAGGAAGCCCTTAGAGTAATAATACCTTACAAATACAAATTCCCTGTTTTCCTAATAGATTCGTAAACTTTCATAAGATATAGATGACTGTCTACTAATGTATCCTATGAAAATACAAGAATAGTGAGATCGACTCTCACAATTTTGTACAATTATTTTTTCTTATTTACTCTCCCTTTTCCCAAATAGTAACATATGAGTTTGACTCTTGAAAATGAAATCTCAGTGACATCTGATTATCTCAGTGACATACCTCTGATTATGTGCAGACTCGCTGATTTATGTCCTGTGTTTGAAGTTAAATTTTCACAAAATACCATTAGCTTCCTTTTCGATAATTTTCGTTACTGAGATAAGCTGATAATGAGATAAATCTTATTCTCAGTGTTAACTGTTTATTTCTAAATATATAACTAAATATACAAAGAGATACTAAAACCTGGAATATCACTTAAAGCTTATTACAAGCATAGGTTCTTAGAACCAGAGGTTCTTGAACATTTTCTCAATCACCAGATATTTTTCAAAGGTCAAAGACAATTTGCTCTTAAAAAGTATTATTTTTCATCAGCCTGCTTTATAAAACACTGTTAAAGCTGAAGCCAGCTGTTTCAAGAGCCAAAGAATTTCCTTCAAGTTAATTAAATGAAACCCTGAAGCTTAATCATTTAAAGCACAGATTCTAGCTCAGGGATTGTCAACTCTGCCTGCATTTTGGAATCATCTGGAAAACCTGGATATATATTCCCCACCCCTAGATATTCTGATTGCTTGGTATGGCATTTGACTAGGGTCAGCCAAGTTTGGATCATGGCCACTCCTTACTAGCTGTGTGACAACAGGCAAGTTGCCTAACACTTCTGTGCTTCAGTTCTCCATTTGTAAATGACAATGATAATTCATAATAACTGACTTATCCACAAACTGAGAGAGGGGTCCCTCCAAGACCACCCTCACTTCTGACATTATTTACAAGTTTGGAGAGTCCCCAAGATTACCCCCAGCTTTAAGAATTCACTAGCAGGAGCCACAGAACTCACTGAAAACTATAATTTTCAAAGTTATAGTTTATTATAATGAAAAGATATAAATTAAAATCAGCCAAGAGAAGAAATGCATGTGGGAGAAAGCTAGGAAATTCCAAAGTTGGGTTGATCCTTTTGGTCCTTTCCCAGTTTAGTCGTGGAAAGCATAATGTCCTAGCAACCCCCAGTGCCAATATGGGTGAAGTACTGTCAACCAGGGACGTTCACATGAGCCTTGAGTTTCAAAGTCTTTATTGGGGGTCTGTCTCCCAGATGTGGTTGACTGTCTGCATGGCTGACCCAAGTTCTGACCCTTCCTGAAGGTGGATCTGATATTGTATGACTCCAAGTCCCCATCATAGGTCATATTGTTAGACTTTCTGGAAGAGCCTCCAGCCTCCAGGTAAACAAAGACATTTTATCAGACGGGACATTCTAGAGCTTAGAGATTACCTCTTAGGAGTTCAGGGCAGATGTTTCAGTTCTCTTTGGGCAAGGTCAAATTCTTTATTTCACATCTTAGTTTTGGGAAGAAGTAGTGAGTTTGTACTTGTATATATAGTACTTAGTATCTAGCCACTTCATAGCTGTTACTGTTCAGAGTGCATGGGTTTTCACCTGAATGGTTCACTCCTCAGCTGTCTAAGATGTCTTTCCACTCTTAGTGAGTGCTCCATAGGCACGTGCTGAAGGAGTGAACAGTTCACCTCCACCTGTCCCAGGTACCCACAGAGCTGACTCTGCCTCTCTCTCTGAGTGTGCTTCCGTTCAGTCTAACCATGCCCCCGAACATCACACTGGCTCCCCACATCGGGAGTACAAGGATCTCATGGATAGAAGGTTCCATGTCCTCGCATAGAAACTTACCCTACTGAAATGGCAGTGCCTCCATCTGGGCTGCACGGGGACATCACGGGAGGAATATTTCCAAATAACAATTCTGGGCTTCCCCTCCAAGGATTCTGTTCATATTGACCCATGAAGTATACAACACACTTATAAATATTACGTATCCTTAATTACAGTGGTCTTGAATGCTTTTTTTTTTTTTTGGCCACACCCCATGGCTTACGGGATCTTATCTCCCTGACCAGGGATTGAAGTCGGACCCTTAGCAGTGAAAATGCTGAGTCCAAACTGCTGGGACAGCAAGGACTTGCCACTGGTGGTCTTTTAAGCAATTTGTATCAAAGCCAAAAAAAAAAAAAGTTGTCTAAACATATGCCATATTCCCTCTTTAATGACAGTAACAAATAACAGGCTTGCTTTCCTTCCACATTTTATGGCTTAGAAAAAAACTCCTAAGTAGTCACAAAACAAGCCAACTGGACTTTAGCGTCCAGCTGTGCATTTTGTTAGCCATGTCTGTTGAAACTTAAGTCACTTAAATTTGAACTTCACTTTTCTAAATTCTGAAGGAAAGATGGTAATACAAATTCTGTCTACTTCACAAGGTTAGGATTAGAGTTACCCACTCGTTGCAGCTGGTTCGTTTGGCACACCTGATGTTTTAAATGCACAGTACTAAGGTGCCTTCTGCCTTTGAGGTATTTAAGATTTTGATGGGGCTTCCCAGGTGGCACTAGTGGTAAAAAACCTGCCTGCCAATGCAGGAGACATAAAAGATGTGGGTTCAATCCCTGGGTTGGGAAGATCCCCTGGGGGAGGGCATGACAACCCACTCTAGTATTCTTGCCTGGAGAATCCCATGGACAGAGGAGCCTGGCCGGCTACAGTCCATAGGGATGCGCAGAGTCGGTTCCCACTAAGGCGACTTAACTGCAGCCGCAGGGTAAAACAGATGCAAAAATAAGTAGCCAGGATACAAAGTAGCCATGCCTCCCCTACACTGGACTGAAGTGGAGACAACTGCCAGCCTGATTCCTGGAAGATCATGCAGAAGAAAACCTGGTAGAGCAGGGAATGGGTGGGTTGGAGGGAAAGGGTGTTCGCATTAGGTTTTCCTGTGATGTCTTTTCTTCATAAGGGTCAGCAGATGACATGGGTTACACAGGCTTAGTAGAACTTCTACAGGAAACTGGGAACATAATTATGTTCTTTTTGGATCAAAACAAAACAAAACAAAAAAAACTCAGATTTAAATAGATATTTGTGATGAATATTCCTGTTCTCCTTTGTGTGATTTATTTGAACAAAAAATGCTGGGACTGTGCTTTTTCTCTGTGTTACATCCCATAAATACCCATAGAAGAATGTGCTGATCTATATTGTTTGTTACAGTTTTGGCAAGTCATATATGCATAGCCCATTGTCTCTGCTGAAATGTAAAAACAGCACAGTAAGTTCCAAAATTAGTTAAAGGAAAGTGAGAAGACAAAATGAGTTACCATCGCATGCTGTTTAATTCTAATTACAATTTTGTGGAATGCTAATCCATTCTTCTTTTTTGTTCTTCCCATTTGAATCCCAGGCATGTTCAAAGCAATAATCAACCTCCGCAGCCCCCAGTTCCACCATTAGGTTACATGTCTGGAGCCTTGATTTCCGATTTAGAAACAGATGTTCCAGACGATGATGCTGATGATGAAGAGGAAGCTTTAGAAATCCCCAGACCCCTGCGAGCGCTAGAGCAGACACCTGGATCCAGTACGGACAATCTAGAGAGCTCTGTGACAGGTAACGGAACTGATTGCATAGGAATAACTGACCCATTTGTCACATGAAAAATGCCTTGAAAATCAAATACTTTCTTATGTAAGATTTATTCCACTCCATCTATTTTGGTGACATTTTTAATATGTTAATATTAAACACAGAATTCAAAAAGGATTTGGAAATACTTTTGCTTTGCTGCAAAATGATAAGAAAATTCATGAATTTTAAAAAGCTTTAAGACATGAAAGAAAACTCAATTATATACAGGGCTTTCATGAAAAGTTCATTCTACTGGGGAACCAAGTCTATTACATAAAAACCTTGACTTTTAGAAATGATATATTTTGTATATCAGGAGCAACGTATGAAGAGAATACAATCTTAAAACGCTTCTTAGTATTTCTCTCTGTAAAATCATTCACTGATGAAAATAAGCAAGTCTTCAGAATAAGCCTCTTTAAGGTTGCACAAGGTATTATTTTTAGAGTGGGGAGATGGAAAGCAAGATAAACTATAAATTTATGCATTTCATATTGTTGATCCAGTAATTGCTGCTCTCCCAAGAAATACAGTTTTTTCTACAGTTTACCCTTCTGCCTTCCCCTGGCCTCCTTCACCAAGTGTAAGGCTGCAATTGGTATTCCCCTAGGATGATCCCAGGATTGCATCCTATTTCCAAGGATGTAAATTTATCAAATTGTATTGAAAAAAACCTTAAATCCTAGTGTTTTCACAGTGACTGTAGAGAAAAGTAAAAGTTCGGTCCTATCAGTCAAGTAAATATCTATTCTTTGATACACACACACAGGTGCCTTTTACCTGGCTATAAAGACGTACCTGCTACAAATGTTTGCTTCTGTTTATCATTGGGTTCTTCAGTAAACCTACCCATTTCTGTATTTACCTTCATGACACCTTTCATTCTAGGAGACCTTTTACCACAGTTCCATTTAATTTATTTTTACTCCAACAGCTTAATTTGCACTGCATGTTACAGTTCAGAAAAACTGGCGGAAACTACTTTATGACAGTGATGAAGAAGCTTGAGTACCTACATGTTTCCCCTGCATGCCTTCCTGAATTACACAATGTAATGCACAAGCCTCCACCTTTCAGGTTTTCTTTTTTACCTGGGGGCTGTCTGCTTGCCAAGCTAATTAAGATTTAAGAACTCCTGTGATTTGAAATCCAGATCCAACTGAAGGTGGCAGAGCAAAAGTTTAAATTGTTGAATGCAGAGAGCTAACTTATTAGTGCAATATTATGCTAAGCCCCTTTGCCTGAATTTCTAGCATAATCTCCTTCAGGGTAAAATTCTGCATATTTTTGCATATCTCACTAATGATACTGAACTCTTCTCAGTTAAGAATGCAGTAAAAAAAACTGCAATGATAAAAGTCAGCCATAGCCTATGTAGTTCTTTTATTAAATATTATAATGTCGAAGTGGATAAATATATCTATAAATCAGGAGAATGTCATTTTGAACTTTTACATGCTCACTTACTAATATGTTGCGCTATCCAATGTGACTGTGGTTAAAAACAATCTGAATTTCTCCTTGAAGCTAGTGTAACGTTCATTTCAAATGAAGCTTTTATTGCTTAGAGAAACTTTTATTTTGCTACTTGAAGTCACTGTTTAATTACTGCCACATATAAAACCCTCAGTGTTTTTAAATATGTATTCATGATAAATTTATCCTATGAATAATGTTTCTCCTTAGTAAAAGAAGTTGAACTCTACACCAAAGAAGACAAGTAGGAACTCTTTCTTTCCTTTTTTTTGGCTTTACAGTAACTTTGTGGGGAAGCTATGATCAAAGATTTAATCTACTCTAACATGAAAGTGTAACTTAAGTAAATATGTTAAAAATAAAAGTAAATTTAAAAAAATGATGTGTGTGTACAGAAGAGTGTGTGTGTGTCTGAAAATCTAGATAGGGTTTGTGAATGTGTGTAAAGTGTGTGTGTGTGTCTACGTAGGAGTGTGTATATGAGCATAACTAGGATTGTGAGTGTAGCAGAGCGTGTGTGCACACATATATTTGTACTTGGGGATGGTCCTGAGATGAATGTATGTACGGACCAAATGCTATAGAAATCAGCATGCTAATGACTATTGCTCTAACGTGTTTATGTTTTCTTCAGACACTCAAGGCTAGCTTAATGGTGCTAAATGAGGTGGGCAATAAAACAGGAACTATTTCATTGGGTTTTTATGTTTTTAAGATGGTAAGTGCCCACAGAGAGGATTTTGATTTTACCATCAGTCACGTTGAGTTCTAAGTTTCTGTGTAGTGTGAGTAAATCATTTCTTTAATCTGAATTCTTTATTTTCATTTTCATAAACGTAATGACCATTTGTTATGAACTAGAACTAACAGTTATGTTCCAATCTTTAAATGTTAAAGCCAACAGAAATGAAAGTCCAGTGATAGCAGAGAGATGGGCTAGTAATTAGCCTCTATGTAAAATTATTTAGAATTTTGCTTCTGAAATACGTTATATTCCAACAGCTGCCACATGAAGGAGCATCAGTGGTTAGCCAGGCACAAAGCCTATGTTTGTAAAGAAATAAGTATGTTATTTTCAGATATTTTCTTAACAACTAATTTATGAGGGACTTTAAAGAGTTTGAAATAATGGTTCATGAATGGAAAAAGTCAAGAAGAGAGGAAAATATCAGTAATTCTATAGCTCATAATTTTGGTGTCTTAGTCTGGTTGGTTTGTTTTAACAAAATATCATAGACTAGATGACTTAAACAGCAAATATTGGAAAGCTGGGAAGTCCAAGATCAAGAATCAGGCAGACTGGGTTTCTGGCGCAAGCCCTCTTCCTACAGGAAGCCATCTTCTCACTATGTCCTCACACGGCAGGAGAGCTTGCTAAGGTCCCTGTCACACCATAATGGCCTCACCCTCAGGACCTCATCTAGACTTAAGCATCTCCTGAAGTCTCTACCTCAAAATACCATAACATTTTGGGTTAAAGCTTCAACATGAATTTTAGGGGAATGTTATCCTTCAGTTCATAATACTCAGGAATGGAAAATATATTTGAAAATCTGTTGTTTATTTATTTCCACAGCAAATATTTATTGAAAATCTATTCCTTCCAACTGCTTGGCTAGAAATTTAGGTTTGATAATAATAGTAATAATAGCAACTTGCACATGTACAGCCCTTAGTATATGCAAAGCACGCTTCTAAACAGTTGGCTGTTTTTGTTATGAGTGGCTTTGTGAGCTAAGAAACTTTCTTATGTTTTTTAAGGGTTTTAAGTAAACAAGAAAAAAAAACATATGAGGAAGACAGCAAAGCCTGAAATATTTAGTATCTAGGACATGACTGAGAGCCTAATACTTGACTTGAGCACCTTATAGAAACACTTCCCAGGTGGCGCTAGTGGTAAAGAACCTGCCTGCCAATGCAGGAGATGTAAAAGACATGGGTTCGATCCCTGGGTCAGGAAGATGCCCTGGAGGAAGGCATGGCAATCCACTCAGTATTCTTGCCTGGAGAATCCCGCGGACAGAGGAGCCTGGCCGGCTACAGTCCGTAAGGTTGTGCAGAGTCAGACATGACTGAAGCGACTCAGCATGCACACACACCTTATAGGAAAAGTTCACTGATCCCTGTTCCAAGGTTTTAACATATATTAACTCATTTAATTGTTACAATTATTTATTTATTCTCACTTTATAGATAAGGAAATTGAGGCACAGAGGGGTTTAAAGGCTTTTTTAAGCTCACCCACCTGATAAATGGCAGAAAAATATTCAAAATCAATCAGCTTTACTCTAAAGACAAATTGTCATGATCTCTCCTATGAAAATGCTCAACTTTTTTCCTAATCTTTGGATTTGGCATATTTAAGAGGAAAGTGATTTCCTGGTTTCCTCTCTCCCTTTCTGTGCATGTATACATATATGAATAAATATATATTTATGCAAATATAGCATATTAGTTTATCTCTGGAAACAATTTTTACCCCCTATAAACTTCAGATCAAAAATTATCATTTTTAGATGTAACTTTTATTATTTGTTTTTCTCACATTTAATTCTATATTCAATTATACTGACTCATACTAACAAAATTCAATTCTATCACCACTTTTTGTAGGAAATTCCATTTTTATTCTTTTCTTTTAACTTATACACTCAGTTTAAACCTACTTGGTTTTAGTAAAGTAGAAAAATGTTTTGATTACAGCACATCACACTCTTTTTTTGCCTAGAAAGTAAACATACAGGATGGTTTCAGTCTTCAGGAATATGCTTGTACTATTTCTGTCTAAATGCCAAACCCACCACTTTGGGGTAACAGGACAGAAGAAGCCTTTAATACATATTTTTTTTTTACTTCCATGGTGGGAGTCAAGGGTGAGTGTTCCCTGTATTTAATGACTCTACCACAGGAATAAAGAAAAAGAAGACAATAAGAGAGAGGGCAGGAGAAAAATGTCCTGAATGTGAAGCCAAGATTCTAACTGCTTCAGTGATCACAGAAATAAGAGTGAGAGTGAGTACTATGACGTGAATTGAATAAAACTTTCCTTAACTGCTGGACCCCACATAAATAACGTGGTTGAAAGGAAATCAGGGCTCTATAGTTACTGTATTTTATGTCATTGGAGATTTTTGCTGCAAGTCTCAAAGCAGATTATTTGGAAAACAATAAACCTGGCAGCCCCACCACCTTACTCAACCACACAGCTTTTAAAGAACTGGCTGCTTAAAAGCATGACCTGATTCTTTGCTTTTGTTGCGAAAACTTAAGGGGCGTATTTTCACAATAGGGAAATTTCAGAGGTAATGCTAAAAATCATTAAATAACTTTCTTAGACATTCTCCACAGCTCTGATGTATTTAAAAAGAAATTAAATACAGACTTCAAAATACGATCTTCAGATAAAGATCGACTTTATCTGAGTCGATCAAATGAGCAGATGTCATAGGTCCCAAGGAAGAGATTTTTTTAATTTCTTATATTGCTTTCTGTCTATATTACACATTCCTTTCTCTGAGGAATGTAGGTGAATTATTGCATTATTCAATACGTTTGCGTGAAAGAGCTTCTAAATATCAGACATGTTTTTCTACATCTAGGCAGAGGTCAATATTTGGATTGATGTGTTCAAAGACACTCAGAGCTGAAGATTGTGTTTAACAGATAGATAGATTGTACTGAATAGGAAGAATTCCTGGATTAAATATTGCCCAAAAAAATGGGGGATGGCCAGTTTTTGTATCTCATAAAAATGGTAATGCAACAAGTAGCAGGGTCATATTAGAAAGCATACACTTTACTCTAGCTTAATGGGTCTAAAGATAAGCATCTATCAGCAAGGAAGGATTTAGCATAAAATGACATGTAAATGAATTGATGACTTATCATAAATTAATTTTAGTGCTGAAGATGTAATGGAGACCCAGCAAGATGCCACTCTATCATGGCATTTTACTGCTTAGTAACATTTGAACAACACCTTAATGTCCTATCGGCAGTTCTTTTTTAACAGCTTGAATCAATTTGAGAGGTGTTTTTTTTTTTTTTTTTTGCCTTTCAGCAATTTTGAAACCTGAGAAATTTGGAAAGATGGAAGATGCAAACACAAATAAATCTGGCTACATGACACAGATTCATTTTTCATTAGATGTTTAAATATGTATTGATTATGTTTGGGGCTATAACATGTCAAATTGCTATGGATCACTTGTAATTTGTGAAGAATCTCTCCCTTAGCTGTTTCACCTAGTGTTGGTTTCAATTTTCTTGGTTATATTTACATTTAGGAAAGAAAACCAAGTGTAACAAAAAATGGCTTACTTTTCTCTCTCTTTTCTTTTTTTGTCTGCCCAGGGTCTTTGTAGCAATGCATGGACTTTCATTAGTAAAAATGGCTTACTTTCTAATTGATGAATCACTGTTTTTCTTTTCTTATAATCATTGTCCTCTTCTTTTTTTGTAACAGTTTACATAAATCCTCAGATAATCTTTGCTGTTTAAATCTAAAGAAAGAATGGTAGTGACAGGTGAAATTAGTAATCATTAAATTTTAGCAATTTTACAATATGGAGGGAATTTAATATATGTTATATACTTTTTTATTCATAACATATTGCTGATTTTCTTTAAAAATATTTGCAACAATATACCCATTCCATATATCATGGGTATATATGTATGTATCATATATATTCCACATCTCAAATAGAGAGGATGGGATGTCAAAGATAAAAACAGAGGAACAAAGAGGGATGGAAAATTTTTTCCTTCTGTTTCTTTGTTTGCTTCTTGTCCTCCATCTTGAAGGCAAACTCAACTATACCAAGCTGGGGGCACTTGCACCTTTTTAGTTTGGGATGATGAGGTTTCCTACTGTCCATCATGGGTAAATCAAATTTGTATGTGAAAATCTTCATATAAAGGACTAATTACATCACTTTTTCCTCATTGTCCAAGTAAGCAACAAGAGTTGACTGACCTTATACTCCTTATTTAATAAATTTTCTAGGAGTTACTGTATGTTCTTGCTGTAACTAAAATAAGGCCAAGGCTAGGAAATTACACAAGGAATAAAATCATGTATGAATTTATACTGAATAATGAAACTATTGAAGACATTTAATTCAGTATGCAAATGTTTATTGAATTTTTACTGTTCAATGTCTTTGTACCTGAGGTACTAAAATGCATAACAAGTAGTTCCTGATCTCCAGAATTCCATTGTCTGGAAGAGAAAACATATATACAACAAATTCTAGTTTGTGGTGTGTGTTCAGTTGCTCAGTCATGTCCGACTCTTTGTGACCCCATTTCCTCTGTCTAAGGTATTTTCCAGGCAAGAATACTGCAGTGGGTTGCCATTTCCTACTCCAGGGGATCTTCCTGACCCAGGGATCGAACTGATTCTCTTGCATCTCCTACTTTGGCAGGCAAATTCTTTGCCACTGCACCACCTGGGAAGCCCAGTTTGTAGAGATATAATCAAAAGCGGGGTCCTGCTTGCCACACAAGAAGCCAATAAAAAGGCGGGTTGGTGGAAGGAAGGCTTGCTTTGTTTGGATACTGGCATGGCAGGGTTGGGGGAGAGGAAGGTGGGCACCTGTCCAAAGGCCAACTCCCCACCACTGATAATCAATGGGCAAGATGTTTGATAAGCTGCGGGAGGGGGCAATATGCAGAAACAGCATGTGTTTCAGTCAGCTCTGACAATCATCTTGAAATTGGCCATTCGTGATCTGACCAGCATCATCTTGATTGTTTTAAGAACAGTTACTTTTCCATTCCAGGGTCGGTTTGCTCCCATTTCTTGAGGCCAGTTCTTAGAATTGTGGCAGCTTGTGTCCTCGCTACACCCTGGTCATCATGTAATGAACTTCTTCACCCTGTGGGGGTTATAGATTCTGGGGGTTCAGAATCTACAGGACAGCTCACAGGATATGACTCAGGATATTATCTCTAGCCCTTGAGAGGAACTAAAGGTCCTTGAATATGCTGAATGACTAAACTACTATTATTTGATCGCCTTTGTCTGTTTTCCTTTGTTTTTGCATTTTCTCATTTCTCTGATTAAACGTATCCTATGGCTAAAGTTTTTCCACAGAAAAAAGGCAGGCAGAAGACATGGGGGCAAGGACCAAAGGGTCTGCTCCTTTTCAGAGATATGCTAGTGTATGCACACTATTTAAAGAACACAGTGGGTAAAGAGATTGAGTCTCTCTTAGACAGGGTTGAAGATGAAGTGGAATCAGGGTGATGAAAGAGATGATTTGGACTTTAAAGCCTGGCAGTGGGCACTAGAGTTAATAGCAATCTAGAGATGTGTCAAAGGAATGAGAGGAAGCCGGAGAGGTAACGAGGCACAGGCTCTTAGAGGGATAGGACCAGAAAGGTAGGCTGCGCTAGGTATCGAAGGATCTCAAACACCTCAGTTGGTGTTTAAGTGTATTGACAAACTCAGCAAGGCTTTGAATGAACAAACTGAATTATGTGATAAATGTTTCAGAAAAAATATTTCATACAATGAGGAAGGTAGAAGGGACCAGAAGGAAATCAGGAATGAAACTATAGATATAAGAAAGGTGACGGTTGTTAGGAGAGTGTGTTTCAGTGAGTTGGCACAGATTTATTTACAGATATTCAGCAGACATTTAGAAATACTGAAAATAGGACATGGGACGGGCCAGGTCTGAGTTTTCCCGTGTTTTAAAAATATCCTCAGTTCTAGGGTTTCATGTTCTATTGTGATCACTGGTTGAATCACTTTGATTTTTTCTTATCTACTCTAGCATTACATTGCAAAGTTGATTGCATCATTTCTCTTTCAATTTAGGCTGTTGGTCCTTGACTTGTGATTATTAACTCAGAAATGGTTCTCTCAGAGGAGGCTCTGTTGCTGGTGTTATCTTGGCTTCCTTGCAGTGGCCTGTGTCTGGGGAATTTGTTTGGAAAGGAAAAAGTGCATCTCCGTGCTTTTGGCAAATAAAATCAAAACTCTATCTTTCTCTGCTACACTTAACACTCTTTTAACTTCTCTGATCCTTCTAACCCCTCTGGTTTCTGCTTTCTGTGTCATGAAAGTGCATGAACCCATGTTATTGCATCCTGGCACCTCAGCTAAAGGTACAAAGACTTTATCATGGCAACATTTTACTGTTGTCTCTTAACTATTAGAGGAAAGGGGGGAAAATCTATGGCACTTAAATGCCATAGTCTTAGTCTCTTTTATGTGAATATATATTTGGTTTATTTAGAAATATTAACTAATGTTAAATTAGTTAATATTAACTAATTAGTGCCATAGTCTTAGACTCTTTTTAAAAATTTGGAATATGCAACACTTGGTATCTTTATTGTGTCATATATTAATTGTACATCAACTGAAATAATATTAATTGTATTAAGTAATTGAGTATGATCTCCTTGTGCTTTGGTCTAAAAAAAAGGATACAACTGTAAATGACTTGCTAAAATTAAGAATAAGTATTTCTCAGTAGCATCTTGTTTTGCAGCTCTTTACACATAAAGCTGTGATTCTTTCCCTCTGTTGCCATTTTGCACTTTGTAGAAAAATCCATATTAATGTCAGTGGTTTTCTTTATAATGTTTAATTTTCTAAAATAAAGATTAGTATTAAAGAGAACACTAGAGTTCTTCAAATAATTGGAAAACAAAGAAATCATACTGAGCTTTGAAAATAATAGAATTTTACAAAAAGAAATATTTTGTTATATTTGTTCTGATATTATTTGTGCATTTTTATTATTAGTTTTTATTATTTCCTGAGTAATAAATTTTTATTTGAAAATCTTAAAATAATTTTAGCCCTTCTGCAGTAAGCAAGTGTACATTTCACTAAAATTATCACTAGCCTACACTAAATTCAAAATATATTCACACTGTTCAACTGAGTTCTTGATAAGTTGACTTTAAATATGCTATACTTTATTTCAATAAAAGTGTTATTCTTTGAATTCTAGGCCTTAGAATATGCGTAGCAATTCTCTTTTAGAAAATAATTATGTAACAATTTGAGAAACATCAGAATGGAGTCATAGGAAACGTCTTATTCAGGGGTTGCAATCGGATACAGGTTTTAAGTGAACTTAATTCTTCTGTACAAGAAATGTTTAAAACATGGATGATGCTTGCGCATGGCTGAAGAAATCTGGATGAAGGAAGAGTGAGGAGTGGAGGAATCCTCTTCGCTCATTAGTGTAGTGTGTACAAGCCGATGAGCTGTTCAGTATGTACAACTCACTAGACACTACATTTGTTTTTAGGTTCAATGGTAAATGGATGGGGCTCTGCATCTGATGAGGACCGTAACTTTTCTAGTCATAGATCTAGCGTAGGTAGCTCCTCAGATGGCTCCATCTGTGCCAGCGGCAGTTTTGCACAAGCTCTGGTGGCAGCAGCAGATAAAGCTGGTTTTAGGCTGGATGGAACCAGCCTTACAAGAACAGGTTGGTAGACTCTGAGTCAACACGCTTTGCATGAGAGAATCTTTCCCCTGAACACTGAGCTATTGATCTGTCCTCTCTCCTCAGTGCATCTGAGTGCAGGGCTCTCTCTAATCTGCATGGACAAAGTCTGAATGCTCAGTTATTACCAGAACTCTCTTAGATGCTCCCTCTGCAGAGCCAAGAATAAGCTCCTACTCATCACCTTCCAGGGCTTCCCTGCTAGCTCAGTTGGTAAAGAATCCGCCTGCAATGCAGGAGACCCTCGTTCGATTCCTGGGTCGGGAAGATCCGCTGGAGAAGGGCTAGGCTACCCACTCCAGTATTCTTGGGCTTTCCTTGTGGCTCAGCTGGGAAAGAATCCTCCTGCCATGTGGGAAACCTGGATTCCATCCCTGGGTTGGGAAGATCCCCTGGAGAGGGGAAAGGCTACCCACTCCAGTATTCTGGCCTGGAGAATTCCATGGACTCTATAGCCCATGGAGTCACAAAGAGTAGGACACAACTTTCACTTTCACTTTTCTTTTCACAGCCTTCCATCCTTTATTCCCCTTTCCCTTCAAAGCTCTACTGATTAACTGGAATCTGCTTCCTTCTTCTATTACAGCCAAGCTGCAGCTAAGATTGCCATTAAATTTTCAATAACTCACACTTTGCAAAATTCTCACACAATCAATAATGTACCCAGTGATTAACATTATTTGGCTTTTATCTCCATTACTTTCCTTTGCCCCGTTTCTTTCTGCAAATGCAGTTTCTGGGAAGGCTTTCTCAGCATGGGGAGAATGGGTCTGAGGCTGTCAGTCTAACAGTTCAAATGGCTGATGGTCTTAGTAGTTGTTTGGCTGTTAAGATTTTAATCCAGTAATTTATTGTTTGTTTTAAAGGATGCTAATTAAAAATACACCCACTGCATTTGCCAGTTGAATAAAATAATGATTACTTGTGTATTGTTCTGTAGCACAATTTAATTTGGATTTCTGAAAATAATAAGTAATAATAATATAAAAGACCAATTATGTAGTTTTCCAGGTTTTTTATCATTAAATCAAAAATAAATATGTGATTCACTGTATTAATAGATCAGTAATTTTGTAATCATTTGTTTTACTGAACAAAATAGCTTTGGCATGATCCTATTATTAATACATGACTGTGTGTATGTCTTAAATGCACATAGCAGAAAACTCTGGTATAAGAATTAAACTGAGCTACCTTACAAAACAAACTAATGAAATGCTACATGCATTTTTGAAATCTTAATAGTATTCAAATAGTAAGGTAAAGATAAATGACTTTGACCCTTCACTAAACTCTCAGGTTATAAAAATGAGTCTTGGGAACTTTCTTTGAATTATACCACCATATAACATTATACTATCTGAGTGTGCACTAGTTATCTACAAAGTAAGGAAGATTCTCCAGGCATTGCAGAGGTTTATTTTTCATATAGCATGTGAACTAAAATATGTTGTACTATAACAGTTATTCAAGTTTTCTTGCTTTATAAGGCCCAAGTGAGAAACTTTATGTTGCCTGAGTGCTTTGTGTGACATAGTTATAAGCAGAGCAGTAAGAAAGTGCAAGTAAACTAATAAATTAGAAGGCCTAAGTACGTTTCTTGCATGTATGCTAATAGCTAATAAAGCATTAAGCAGTATCATGTCACATTGACTTAAAATGTAACTACATACAGTAATTTTGAATGAAATGAATACATGCACAAGAAAATAAATATATGTACATAAACCTTCTCATGCCATAATTAAACCCATAAGATGCTGAAAATTTATTACTTAACCTTTTGCCAGAATATTTTTCCCAACATATTACACTAAGCTACAAGAAAAGGACATAGCACATTTCATTTTTCAGTAAGAATTCAGAGTCTGCTCAGATAGAGTACTATTCATCAGAAAACACCTATTGCACTTTGGTGATTTTACAAGGTGATTTTAAACTGCTATTTATCCTATACTATACACTAATGTTATTGAGTTTCTGCTAAAAGAAGTAGAATTCATTGTGTATGTGTATGGGTGGTAAGGTCAATTTAATATATGTGTCTGAGCAGACCTTTCATGTAAAATTTAAAACGTAATTACTACAGGACATTTTTCTGTGCTCAAAGAAAGTTCGTAAGATTCCAAGGGTGAAATTTGATTAAACAAGACAGTACATAATTCACTTCAGAAAAAGCTTTCTTAACTTTAAGGAGTAAAAGCTGCAAAAATTTGCATATATCTATGAAAATGTCGCTAAGATCACCAAGGTTAAATAAAAATATAATCAAGGAATATTGATTGGTGGTGGACTTGTTTCATATTCGTTTGCATTTTTCAGTGGGTAGTATATTGGTTATAAAAACTGGACCAAAAAATGTAAGAGGGCACATTTTTCCTATGGAGATGGACCAGTATTTTATATCTTCAAATGACATCTCCAGGCAGCTTTAGAAGTTAGTCTTAGAGCAGAAATACAAGACAGAATCAGTGCCTTATAATAACGTTCTCTATATCTCATTCCCTTTGTTTACTTTTCAGGCAAAGCCTTTACCTCCTCTCAAAGACCTCGACCAACCAGCCCATTTTCTACTGACAGTAACACCAGTGCAGCCCTGAGTCAAAGTCAGAGGCCTCGGCCCACTAAAAAACACAAGGGCGGGCGAGTGGACCCACAGCCTGCCTTGCCTCACCGCAGGGAAGGGATGACAGATGGTAGGTTGGTTTTCCTCTCTCTGGTCTCCTAACTGAAGAGACATATTCTGCGAAGTCACTAACTTAGCCTAAAGACACGATGGTAGATCAGGTATCGCCTTGCTTTGTAACCAGGCTGACCTGGCAGTGTGGTCTTGTTTCAATAAAACACCCCCTTTTCTTTAACAATCTGGATTTGCTTCTAATTATCCAAGCCCAGGAAATATATGCCATCCTACTTGACTATGTTGATTTTTCTCCTATTCTGGCAATTTTCCATTAGTGCTTTCTAACGACCATTCCTTTTTAGGATTAAGGAAGAAAACGTAAGTAGCATGTGCAGTCGCCATGTTGTTGAATTGTTTCTGAAGCTGAATTAAGATATCTTAGATGGTATTTCACTTTTGAAAAAGACTTTTTGAAAAAGTCTTTTTTTTTTTTGACAAAGATTTCCAGTTTATGAATTTTTAAATTTCACGAATTTCGGGGCTAAAAATATGTTATAGACCATCTGGTTGATGGGTCAGTAACCTTCTTCTGCGAAGTCCAGATAGTAAATATGTTTGGCTTTAGCCAAGCCAAACAATCTCTATCAAGACTACTTAACACTACCATTGTAGTGTCCGTGCAGCTATAGATAAATGTAAATGAATGAATATAACTGATTTCCAACAAAACTTCATTGACAAAACAGGCAATGGCTTACTTTGGCCCATAGCTTGCTGATTTATTTCAATTTTTTCACTTATATACAGCATCCAGTCTTTGAGTATTTGCTTAAGTACTGCTAGTTTCAGGAAACAAAATATTATTGGAAGACATCCTTTTTCAGTAAGGAATAGTTCATCAACTCTGTATTCAACTTAATTATCATATGTTTAAATATGGGATAAAAGTGTTTATACTGAAGTTTTATCCTAAGGAATATGTAAGACAACATATGTAAAGAGACCAGTATAATGTCAGACCCAAAGGTAAATTTCTTCCTCTTTCTCTACACTATCTGCTAAGCACACAAACTTTTTCCTGAGATAGCACTACCAAACATCAAAAGAATGAACCTAGCCAGGCTGCACATCAGAACCATCTGGAGAACTCTTAAAATACACCCTGGAGATTTTGATTTAATTGTTCAGGGGTGAAAACCAGTCATGAGTATTTTTAAAGCTCCACTGGAGAACCTAATATGCAGTTAGCTTTGAGAAGCTGTAACTGAGTTCTTGGCACTCATCTCAGTCTCTTAGACCTACCATTATAGGACAGGATGAGGCTTCCTTGGAAAGGAAGTATTTGCTCTTTATTGGTTTGAGGGCAGGTCTTTCACTGGCAGTCTCCATTGTGCTTTCTCTTGTCATTTTTATAATGCTAAGAAGACTTTAAAAGCCCAAAATAACTTGTCTAAAAGCCTTCAGGTTTACTTATCTTTCCTGCTTCCTTTGTTTTCATTGGAAAGTGTTTCTGTGGAATACAAGGGTAAGGGTACAATCAAGATTTTGATTCTTGATAAGTGGATATCCTGTGGTGAGCAAAAATGTGTGCCACCTCCTTTCTGCCGCCAATGATCTGAAGATTAGTCGAGCACTTGAAGCAGTCTATATTGTTGATCTTATTCCTTCTAAATACAAAGGACTACTCACTGATATTCTATTACAAATCTCAGCATTAATAATTTTGTGTGATTTTCCTGCTATGAATGTCATGAAGAGAGGGAAATATCCAGGGACTATATGGGTATTTTTGTGGCTTTTCCAAAATGTTTGAAGATCATATCCAGAATATGTGGAAGATATAAAATATAAACCAATAAAATAGCTCTTTTCTTTCTCCCTAAAACATTTTCCTTGCAAGCTTTCTTCAGAATGTCTAGTTAAAGTAAGCTAACTCCTAGTTTAAAGCATGATTGATATATTGCTTATATTTCTAAAACACAAATAGGTTCCTAAACTTTCAAATTTACCAGCTTTCCAAAAAAGATTTTGGATTATGTGTCATTAGTAGATACATTCTGAAAGTACTGGTATTGCAAAGCATATTTTGGCTAACAAGTGTTTGATCCAAAGACATTTTACGTATGATAAAGTAGATTTATTTTGGATCGCACTCTACAGGTCATCTTTAAGAATACTGTTATTTTACCACAGATGTTTATGCCATAGTTTTTATATGGTATGAATCCATGCATCAGTAATAAGTTCATATGATTTGTATGTAAAATCAAACTGTTCTTTTAGGGAAGTTTAGTAACACTTAATGTATAGATGTTTTACAGTAAAATTTTTGCATTATAGATTTTACAGCAGTGTTTATGAATATATTAATCAGGGTAACTATTGATGGCTGCTATATCAGCCTCCATGCCCTCCGTGGCTTAGCATGGTAACAGTTTATTTCTCACAGACACAGTGATTTATAAAGGTCAGGTGGCTCTCCTGGAAGTTGTAGTGTAAAGATGTTTGCTTCTTAAATATTGATACCCCGTTATTTCCAAGATGGGACCTTCCTGGTTTCTGAGTGAGGGAAGACAGAACAGAAGTGATTACCTGGAATGTTCTATAGCTAGTCAGTGACTCAGATGGTAAAGAATCTGCCTGCAATGTGGGAGACCCAGGTTCGAATGCTAGGTTGGGAAGATTCCCCTGGAGAAGGAACTAGCAACCCACTCCAGTATTCTTGCTCGGAGAATCTCATGGACAGAGGAACCTGGTGGACCACGGGGTCGCAAAGAGTTGGGCACAGCTGAGTGACTAGATGAGATGGTGGCTAGTCCCACAGGTGGTACATTCACTCCTTCATGGGCAGGAACTCTGTCACATGGCGTCAGACTATCTTCTGGAGCAGGAATGTTATTATTGTAGGCAGTATCAGTCTCTGTTTCAAAGACTATGCAAAAAGCCACACACATATTAGGAAATGTTCTTCCCCACTGGATTAAGTCTCCCCTAAGTAGGCATTGTTCAGTGCAAATCATCTATTCCATTTGCATAAACCAAAGAATATCCTTTAAAGCGAATCCATTGACCAATGCTGAACAAAGGAGGCAAGAGAGGTAGTTAGTTCTCTGTCAGCCTTTTTTCCCTAAATCATCACCTTCCAGCCTGTCCTCCCCTCATCCTAATGTCTCTTCAGGGAAAGGGTTCTTTCCCAGCTCTGCCATGGAATAACTTTGACGACTGAGCAAATTAGTCATTATTCTATTCATTAATCTATTCATTCATAAATCTGTTCATTCAGATATTTATTAAGCTCCTACCAAATGACAGGCACAGTGGGAACTATACAGATGAAATTCCCTGGCCTCCTGTAGCGCACATTCTAGTGAGAGAAGATAGATAAAGACAAACATAAATATAAAAGTGAAAAATAAAGGTATACAAGATGGTGGTGTCATGGAGAAAACAAAACCTAGGAAAGAAGCTGAGAAATATAGACATGGGGGAGATATTTTTAATGTAGAGTGCTCAGGGGAGGCCTTACCAAGAAGATGACATTTGAGAATAGATTAGAAGATTGCGAGAGAAAGAGCAATGCTTCGATCTGAGGAAAAGTCATTCCAGGAAATGAGAACAGCAAGTGGAATCCTGAAGTATTTAGTTAAAAGGAAGAGGAACAGTGTGACTGAAGCAGTGTGTGTGCTCACTCAGTTGCATCTGCGGCCCCGTGGACTGTAGGTGAAGCAGAGAGAGCAACAAAATAGAGTGTGAAGTCAGACAAGTAAGTGAGGGACCATTTTTCTGAGGACTCTATAAGCCTCTGTACGGACATTGGCTCTTTACTTTGAGAAAACAGTAATGGTGTGTGCACGCATGTGTGTGTGTGTGTGTGAGAGAGAGAGAGAGAGAGAGTGTGTGCGTAAGGCAGGGGAGTTAGAGATTTTCCTTAAGTTTTTATTAAAAAACAAATCATTCTGAATGCTATGAGACAGCCTGAATTTGATTCTGTGTGGAATCACACAGAAACTATTATAGGGAATAGGTGGTTGAGATCCACGCCAAGCTAGAATCAGTGGAAGCAACAAGAAAGGTTGAATTCTAAATAGGGAGGCAGAGCCCACAGGTTAATGAAATTAATAAAGGTATAAAGCAGGGAAGCCAAAGATTACTCCAGCCTTACGACCAGCTTGTAGTACTTGAGATGAGGAATATTAGGGAGGAAACATTTTGCACAAGAAGTTCTAGAGCTCAGTTTCCAGGCGTGAAATTTGAGATGCTTACTAAACATCAAAGCCGAACTCTTCAATATGGATTTACTTAAGATGAATCTGGAGTTCATGGAAGGAGAGACCCAGACTGGAGATATTTGATTTCTTTATGCCTATTTTTCTTACCTAAAAAAGAGTATAATAATGACACACGTATCACTGGATTGTTGTGCCTGACAATTGCAAATTCTCAATAGGCCAGTAAGGGTCTCTTTGGTGAATTGATTTAGTTGAAATGAATCAACAGAAATGAATAATAAATTTAATTTAAGTAAACATATTTGATTACATTCTTTCATTTTTTCCACAGCCATTCTTAATCTCATCTTTTTTCCCAATTTGTTTATTTCAATGTGCTTTCAGTGTTCTTTCATCTTAGACTATACAAACTCCAAGGATATTACTGAATTATGTAGCCATATAATTTCAGGTTAAATTAAATAGTAATCAGAATTTTAGCTAGCATAAGCAGATGCCATTTTGGCCATTTTAAAAATTAAGCTGCTCTGATGGAGAATAAAAATCAATGACGAGATATGTTATTTTAGAAGCAAATGTAATAATTTCCCCCCAACTGGCAGTCTTAAGTCCAATAACTCAAGTAAAATAATTAATTTGCATTTCTAATAATACAAACTGAAGGAAATCAGTATTGAGTATAGAGGAAGCACCAAACTCATTGGTGAATTATTCAACAAACAGATCTCTCAATATTGGATTACCTTTTCATTTTGGAAGAAATGTTCCAATTGCAACTCTGTTCTCCCAGATAGAAACCAAGTTCCCTTCAATAATTAGGAATTCATAATCTAACAAGATGATGTACATAAGAACTGGGAATGCTGCTCCAGTGTAGGAACTCCCCAAGTAGATTCTGAGGATATTTTCATTGTCAGTTCAATGAAGGTCAGTGTTAGTTTACTTATAAAGGAGAATATGAAGCTTCTTAAGAAAATCTTTTAAAGGAGCAACTTAGCCTTCCTTAAAGAAACTATCTTGTGTACACAAGAAACTTATACTTTCTCCTTTTGAATTTCATGAACAATATTATTAGAAACAAGTGCACCATTGCTAAGATGGCATGGGAAATAATTATCTATGTTATATATATTATCTTCTATTAATGATATAAGTATGTATATTGTCCATGATAATGGATCTTGGTGAACAAATAATATAGCTCTTGATACTCTAAGGATGAACAAAGTTTGCAACAACATTCCAAAAAAATGGAGGCAATAATCCAAAGGAATGTTAGAATGTTTCAGTTCAGTTCAGTTCAGTCGCTCAGTCTGTCCAACTCTTTGCGACCCCATGAATCGCAGCACGCCAGGCCTCCCTGTCCATCACCAACTCCCGGAGTTTACTCAAACTCATGTCCATCGAGTCAGTGATGCCATCCAACCATCTCATTAGAATGTTTAGAAGATCTCTAAATCTTCAACAAAGTAATATTAGTAAAGGACTAGTATAACAGTATACATTATATAATAGAACTATAATACTTAAATATGAAAAAAGCAACTATGATTTCACAATTGAAGACATTTAAAATATAAAAGCATCATGGTCTAACAAGCTAATAAGAGAAAAATGAAAAAATTAGCTAGGTATTTGAACTTTTAATTTTTTCATATATTTAATGTAAAGAGCTTTTATGACAAATTATATATTCCACTACATCTCAGTTTTTCATGATGCATTGCCTTCTCTAGCACCATGAAGCATATTCTATCTAAACTCTGATCATTGGTTATTACTTATTAAAATTAATACATTGGAAGATTATAATATATTAGTTGTAACTCATTAGCTAACTCATGAAACGAACAGCCAGAATTGGTTGTCAAGCAGAATGTTAATTGCATTTAATAAATGTTAGCTTAACACTTTGACTGTTGCTGAATGTGCCACATACAGGAATAAGAGCAGTCATATGCTGTGTATGATCCAGCATACAGTTCTTAATTTCCCAAGGGCAACATTTCCTAGGGAGATTGACAGGGCAGCTTTTATTCTTCCGGGGCCTTTTATTAATACAGCTGCTAGAATTTCTAGTTGTTTTGTGTCCTGGTATTCTGCTTTGGGGAGGTGGCAGTGGACAATGGCTTAAAGATGGAGAAATCATAAACTGTCCTTTACACCTTGAACATCAGCCTCCATGTGCAGTTGAAAACACTCACCATGTACAATAGTTGGATAAAATTGGTTGATTTTATTTTAAAGGCACTGTGATCAAAAGATAGCAAAGCGATCAATAATATGCATTTCAGATATAAATAACTGACCTTTCCTCTCCAATCTTTATTTTGTATGGGTGATACCTTTAGGAGGGCGACGTTTTTCTTTTTTCTTCATCTTGAATTAAAACCTGTATTTTTTTTTTATTACATTTTAGTTTATTCTAAACATTATTCAAAATTTTTAGATCTTCCACCACCACCAGATCCCCCTCCAGGTCAGGGTTTAAGGCAGCAGATAGGCTCGAGCCAGCATGCTGGTAACGTGGAAAATTCAACAGAGAGAAAAGGAAGCTCTCTGGAGAGACAGCAAGCATCCACCTTAGAAGACACAAAGAGCTCTTTGGATTGTCCAGCTAAAACGTCCCTAGAGTGGCAGCGGCAAACCCAGGAATGGATAAACTCCACTGAACGCCCAGAAGACATACGGAAAGCCCTCCACAAACAAAGTGTCGGACCAGGTGTGTTCTGCACAGTCCCAAGAAAGTGTGGACTTTGACCTTTTTTTTTTCTACCAGGTATTTTGGAAATGCCAGTTGTTTAAGGGCATCTGAAATGCATTTGCCTTGAACCACTAATTGAAGTTGGAATTCACAGCAAAGCTCACCTGCGCATCCCTTAAGGCTGAGTCCATTAGGGGTCCTTCCTCAAGTTAACCTCTGCATAGGGTCTTTGAGCCCAAGAGACATCTGGGCTTCATCTGTAATGCTCAGGAAACCATTTGATTTTTTTTTTTTTTTTGCCATTTTTGTTTGTATCGAGTACTTTTAAGACCACTAAACTTCATCTTTAGTATCAATTGAATCTCTGCCTTCAACCAATTTGTCCATTTTGACTGAAGTAACTAGTCATTTTTAGAGAACTCACTTCAGTCAAATTGGTAAATTAATGGAAATAACAAAGTTGCAAATAAACAGACAATCACAGAATATTCATATTAGAAAAGGTGAAACTGGCACCTGCACTTGCTCCAACTGATTAAATTGAGTTGATTATTAGCACTTCAATGGGAAATGTTTTTGCTTATAAATCAAGCTTGCTGGAAATGTCACAAAATAAGTTTCATCATTTGCAGTAGGATTTTTTTTTTTTTTTTGGTGGAGGTACGTTTAACCAGTTATAGAACTCATTTCTGCAACATCCCTTCTTATGTCAGAATTCATTGAGTATTAAAACATACATACACACACACGCATTGAGAGTTTCCTTATACATTCTTTTATTTATTTGGACTCAGTCTGTTCTGGATATGTCCTCTACTCAAACATTTTCAATAATTTTATTTTGTCACAACTTGGTGCTTAAAGTTTTAGCTTGAAATATAGTTAGGAAAGAGCCAAAAGATGATAATATTAATATATAGATTTAGTGGAACATTTAGGAAGCTTACATCATTAAGGCTGTAAAAGAAAAATCATGTGATGCTTGTCATTAAAGCTATCTAAGAAGAGAAATACTAAATGCAGTTCGCATGGTTTTTAGTCATCTAATCACAGTAATGATAACTCATCCCTAGAAAGAGACAGAGGGGTGGAGAGGAAGAGAGATGGAGAAAAAATGAAAGAAGAAAGAGAAAAAGAGAGAGAAAAAGCAGTAGTATTTCAAAGTATTAAGTATTTAGTAATGCACATCATGGATTATTTTTAGACAGACGGTACATAAAAGGGATAGGAACATTATTAAAATGAATGAGTTTCTCTTTTTCTTTTAAGGAAATAAACAGCTTTTCAAATAGTGTATTTCTATTCAAAGAAGCAATAGAAATTTAAGAAGCTTAGTTTATTAACTAGCATATAGTTCTTTATCTAAATTGAGAAAATGTTGCCATAATTTAAGACAAAAACCATGTTCCTTCCATCTTAATGAAAAAATTAAATTTCAGCCCCATTGAACCCAGAAATTATCCTCAGAAAAGATTTTGTCAAACAATGCAGTCATTACATGCAAATCTCTTTTATAATGAATTTAAATTTTGCAAATAATACATGACATTGTATACTTATCCCAAGATCTCTTTTAATTTAATCCTGCCTCAGTTCCTGTTGTAGGAAATGTTGCCTGCACATAGAAATTCCTTTAATATCTGGGTCTTGTTAAATTCTTTTTAATTTTACTAAAGAGTGAAATGATAAAAAAGCCTAGCTTGAGCTTAAAGTTAAATTTGTTTTGCCTCTGTTTAGCTGTTCACCTAAACCCATTGCGTCCCCTTTTTTTCAGAGGAGACGTTGGTGCCCTACAGCAAGCCCAGCTTCCCATCTCCAGGGGGTCATAGCTCATCAGGAACGGCTTCTTCTAAGGGATCCACTGGACCTAGGAAAGCCGATGCTTTGAGGGGAAGCCACCAGCGCAATGCCAGCGACCTTCTTGACATAGGATATATGGGCTCAAATAGTCAAGGACAGTTTACAGGTGAATTATGTAAGTGCCTTAGGGCATTTAAAAGGCTGTGGTGATTGAGAAAGAAAACTGGGAGAATAACCTAAGGGAGAAAAATGTTTTCCTTGACCCTCTTAGAATATCTGACTGGGTCTGAAAACCAAACTGATGAGAGAGATCACCAAGAAAAAGAAGCATACACATTTTATTGAATTTTTACATGAACATGGGAGCCTTCACAGGAGAATGAAAGACTCAAAGAAGGGACCAGAGCAGTAAACTTTTTGCTCCTTTAGACAAAGAAACAGTAAATGTGTGAGAATTTAAAAAGAGGTTTGGGCTGGGGGTAATAAAGGGTGAAGAAGTAACCAAGGGTTAGTTTAACAAAATTTTGACAAGAATATCTTCCTTCCTCTTGGTACAGAGCAGGTATCTGTCACATAGTTTAAGGGAAGGGTGAGGTGGGAGAAGTCAGAGTGCTCTTTATGCTTCTGCTATTTTTTTCAAACTCCCTCACTCTAAGATATTCAGTATGCGAAGGTACCATATTTTGAAGTATGTCCCGAATGCTATCAGTAACACTGCCACAGTAAACAAATTTCAAAACTGTGGAAAGCTTGCTTTACGATGAGAAAAAAATAAATTATGATTTTGAGCAGGTTTGATTATAATAAAGACCACTGCTGTTTCTATCAGTCAAATAAACATTTCTTCTGTCTCAAGCTTGGATTTTTTTTGTACAAAAATTGTAGAAGTTAGGCAATTAATTTTAATACTTACATGTTAATTAAATATAGTTTTTTGTACTTTTCTTTGCCTGCTTAACTGAGCACAATAGGGAAATATTTGCCCGTTGGTAGTTTTAAAGAACCTTCTTGGGAATTCCTCATCCCCTAGTCACTTCATTTTTTTATTTTGTACATTTAGGAAGTCAGCCTTGAAAAGTTCGTCATTGATTTTAGTTAATTTGTAGTACTTTGATTACAATAACATATAAATTTCTCTTTTTGATAAAGAACTGGCATTGGTAGTTAATATAATTAAACTACTTTTTAATTATAAAATACTAGAGAAAGAGAGAGGATGTCACGGTTTGTCACACAGTAAAAAGCCTTGAATTCTTTGTGTCCATTGCATCATGAAAGTTACCAATTTCACTAACCAGTGTCAGAATTATATTTTCAACTGCTTCCTTGAATTCAGTTTATCTGAAGGAATAGCCCTGAATTCCAGTCTTCTCAACCTTCTCTGGTTATGTGAGAAAAGAAAGTAAACTGCCTTCCTGACTCTCTATGCCCTGTCTAAAGCATTGGATTACTCATATGTTCACATTACTCTGATGCTCAGACTGGGGAATGCCATGAGATAATGAAAGCTGAAAGTACTTTCAAAACTGTAAATTTCTTTAATTTTAATTAAGAGGAGTTATTATTGTTACCTATTACTAATCTGATTATAATTGTGTTTATCATTTTAATTTGATTCAGGACTACTTGGATTTTGCTGTAACTATTATATGGGAGTAATTATAGGCTCATAAGAAATATAAAAATGATTTATTTGGATGTTAAGTCTCGAAATTTTACAACGTTCTTTGTCTTTCCTTTTCCATAAGCAAAAAATTTTTAATTCACAACCTCACAAAATCCAAGATGTCGTCTTCATCTATTATCTGTTTGCCTTGCTTTTTGTTATGCTGATCAAGATACAGAATATTTAGTTTAAATGCAAACTTATTTCTGTTTTGTTTTTTTTTTTAATCTCTTCACAGAGTAACTGAGAGGAGACATGCAAAGCTGCTCTGAAAGACCATCAGGTCTGAACTCATGGAAGTGATAACACTAATAATCAGTGCAATGAACAATTTCTTTATTTATGTACTATTAAAAGAACTGTAAATGCAATGTAAAGACACACAGCCACACATATCCCACAGATATTTTACTTGTGTTCTTCTCTTAAGTACACCACCCACCTTAACTCTTTCTTGTCAGGAGTATATAAAAAAGAAAGAAAACAAAGCTCGCCCTCCAGGAAGAAAAGGATTTTCCTCTGTATATAATTTCTTTTGTGCATTGCTATGCAAGCTCACTCTTTTTAGCTCTGTTCATATTATTGTCTGTTCTTATTGGTCTGTTGTACTATATGTGAATTAATAGGCTGTGGTGCCATATATTAACTTTTAATTGTGTAACTTTTATGTTTAAATTTTGCACTGCAATTTTATTTGGTGATAAGCACAAATCTCTACTCCTCGTGACATGAAGAAAAAGACTGAATGTGAAGGGAGTTTCTGTACTGTAAGCTAGGATGGATAATGCTGGTTGTAACCAATGACATGAGGGGGGTTTCAGTTGGGGTGTAGAAGTAGAAAGATGCAAAGGAACAGTGATGTTGGCTAAGTCTTCTTTGAACATCAGGGACTGAGTCAATAATAAAAAAAAGAAAAGAAAAGCAGTTACGTGGCTTTTACTATTGATAAGAACAGGGGTCAAAAGAAGGAAGTTGAAGTCCTAAAACTGAATAGGCATTAAAATATACAGGTAGCAATGATGTACTAAACTTGCTTTTTAAAAAAGGAAATTAAAGTTATGTTTAGAAACAACTTTACCTGTCATTGTAATTGACCTGTCTCAGAATTACAACAAGCAAAAGGAAATTAGTGTGTTTCACAAGAGCTGTATTTATATTACAGTTTTTTAAAAAAGCATTGTCTGAATTACCATAACTAATCTCTCCAACTCATTAAGTCAGAATATAATATGAAGTTCCCCAAGGAAACAAATAAAATGAACTCTAGAATATCTAGCAAATAGTTAAAGAGACAATTTATTATTAGGACATACTCGGGCTGCTTCCAAATACAAAAACTCTATTGCAATATCTTGTTTCATCTTTCTAATACATGTACAGTACATGCTAGAGGATAGAGCTGCATCACTTCAATTCATTACTTTTTAAAAAATAATGCAGTCTATTTGCAACTTTGTGTTTCATTTGATTAAGAAGTGAAGTTTATGCCACCAAATGTATAGCCAAATTGTAAGTGCTTAAAAAGCAGTGTTCAGAGTATGTTCAGTTCACAGTAAGTAGATTTATTGGAATAAATCTTTTATGGTTCATTCTCAGAAATTGGCTACCAACTAAAAAATGTTTGACCCATTTTGAATGAGTAAATCGAAAAGAATAATTTTAAAGAAGAACAATGCATGTTTATACACTTTTTAAATAAAACCAAACCTCATAAGTGGACATTAATAACAGTGTCCTGCCTCATTTGTTTTCACGACTTTGAGAACCAGAAGTTCCTGAACATCAATCATGTATCCTTCAAATGAATATGACTTTGAAATATATATTAGCTACTGTACATGTATAGTCAATCAGTCAAGTAGAAGAGAAATTTCCTGAAATTCCCACTTGTGACATTTTTCCATGTGCTACCTACACAATTGTAAATTATATTTCTAGTTATGCTTTCTCATGTTTGTCCTATGATATGTTCAGTAGTTGGTACTTTGAAAGATATTCACTATAATGGTTAAGATCAATTCTAAAATATGGGACCAGTTTGAATGGGAATTCATACTCTGTGCATTATTGGCTCAGTCACCAACTGTGTATCATACTGTTATAGCAAAGGGAGGAACCTAGTTAAATGTTTCCATCTTTTTTGTTCCCTAAGGCTGCATCAACACAGGCAAGAGTAGTGGAACATAATATTCTTTATGGGCCCCCTACATCTTCTTGGTCCCATGTAGTTCATTTCTACACTGAAGAGAAAAAGAATTCTGAGACACACTTACTATTCCCTTTGTCATCTTTCTACCATCAGTGCCTGAATTTTAATGCAGCTTGATTTCTCTGGGACAGAGAGACTGGGGATGCTGAGATGTTTCTGTGAAGAATGAATACATACCTATATGCAACTGTAGGATGTGAAGAATTTAGTTTTTAATTTATGCCGTCCCCTACTTCATCTCTTTCTCTTTAAATGCAAAGTTTTGTTCATTTTTTGGTTCCTTCTTTATGCTTCATGCTCCTCTATAACCCAAGTTAGCCTGAACCTTTAATTCATTACAGATACTACACGTAGAGTTTTACCCCTGGTAACTGGCAGTATATGTGGCTAATAAACAAAGAGTTCAAAACAGAGTTTGTGTATGTGACTTCTGGAGTAATCCAGGGCATGGTCTCATACCTTCAGTTCATAAAAATTAACTGTTTTGGTTAGAGTAAGTCAGGCCTTATGATTACTTGGAATGTTCTTTTATAATAGGTCACATTCACTGTTAAGTCTAGTTTTAGATTAATTGGCTAATATTGCATCCAAAATATTCTCCTCCTGTAGATGTAAAGCAAGAAAAAATACTGTGGCTACCCACATGAATTCAGGAAGACTACCAAAAATCAAAGCCTTTGTCACCTTGCTATATGTAAAAAACTTCCAGTAAGTGTAAGTCAGAATGTCATGAGAGCTACCATGAATTTTTTCAATTGGAAGCCAGTGAAATGATTGGAAATTCACAGAGCTCACTCTTGTGCAGGTCTAAACAGGGGCCTGCCTAAGCTGTCAGAAGGAAGTCTAGATAGGAGAATGTAATCTCATCTTGCCCTCACAGGCAACGCTGCTGTGTCGTCATGCCCCCCAGGAGAATAGCTCCATTCTTAACACGCATAGTCTGCAGTGGGGACAGCGGCCGAATTAGTATCCAACTCCTGTATGCCTCAGTGTACGCAAGCAGAGTGGCCCTACCCATTCTCCAATTCTCCCCCAGGTCGAATTTAAAGTACGGGGATATGAAAACAGCTGATTTCTTCTTCACAGGATTTGAATCCAGTTCAATGGTGAATATAGGAAAATCAAGACCAGCATTTACAATAACCTGTAATCAAAGGGAAGCAAAAATATTGCAAATTGATTTTCTCTGGGTAACAAAACATTAAATGGTGTTCTATGTCATAGCCTAATGCTCTATTTAAATATACTTTCAATGGGTTTTGAGTTGAAAGTTTGTATGAGTTTAATAGAACACCTCCAG